AATGACCTTATTGTTATTATAAATTTCAAGTCAAAAGACTTATAATTTGCCATCACTGGTTCGGGGTCCTGCTATGTCTGACTTTCAGGATGGTATTTTATTATAAAAATTAATAAAAATTATTTTTTTAATAATAAATGCTGTGACTGATTTTTGGGATGACATTTTGTACATTTTGTTATTAAAAATTAATAAAAATTAATTTTTTATTAATAAATTCTGTGTTTGACTTTTTGGAAGGCATTTTATTATAAAAAATCAATTTTTATTAATAAATGTTATGTCTGACTTTCAAAATAACATTTTATTATTAATAATTAATTTTTAATAATAAATATTATATCTGACTTTCAAAATGGCATTTTATTATAAAAATTAATAAAGTTTAATTTTTTAATCATAAATGTTATGTTTGACTTTTAGTATAACATTTTATTATAAAAAATTAATTTTATTATAGCTAATTTTATAATTTGTGAATCATTAATAAATTGTGATTGAATACAACTGAAAATATTTTATAATAAAATTACTATAAAATATTGTAACTGAATATGACTGAAAAATTATTAATAATCTATGAATTATAAAATTAGCTGTAATATTTTATTAACAAATATTGCATTCGATTTTTAGAATAATATTTTATTTTTAAAAATTAATTTTTTTAATAATAAATGCATCTTCGACTTTTAAGATGAATTTTATTATTAAAATATAGGAGGTGGTCAGTAGAAAAGTGAAAAATCCAAAATTTTTGTTAATTTTCATTATTAAGCTAAATTTGTGTATATAATCGAGATCAGCCAAGTGGTCCAATAATATAAATTTTGATCAAAATTTAGATTTTCCTCTTTTCTACTGATCACCTCTTATATAATAAATTTTTTTAATTATAAATGCTATTTTTAATTTTCGGAATAGAATTTTTTTATTTCAAGTCTAATAAATCAGATTTGAATCTAAATCTGAATCTGATAAATCAAATTTGAATTTAAATCTGAATTCATCATATTAATTAAATCTGAATTTGAATCTGATCTGGATCTGATAGATTAAATCAAATCTAAATTCAGATCTGATAAATCTGATTTGATTTTTATAAGATTTAGATTAGATTCAAATTAAATCAGATTTTTGCAGAACACTAATTATAAAGAATTGGGATAATCTTTGATAATAGTAAAAAATAAATTGTTTATTTCAAATGATAATTAAAAGTTTTCATATTTATATAAATAAATTATAAGCCAGAAATTTCAATTATATTATTTATATATTATGATACTTATTATGAATGAAAAATATCCTATAATGTAAATTTATATTAATAAACTTAAAAAAATTAAATCAAATTGATCTTTTCTTATATACCTATTATTAATATATTTATTTATTTATAATTTGATATAATTTATTTAAGAAGTATTGGATTTCTAAAATTATAATAATTATTATTACTATTATTCTATAATAATGATTATCATATTTTTTGCAATAGACTTATATTTATAAATTAATAACCCTATACTATACTCTGGATTAATTATGCTTAAACTAAATAATAATTCCTTATATTATTTATAAAAATCTTTTTGCATTATTTACAATTATTTCTTAGTAAATTTATAGTTTGCATTATACAAATATATATTAAAATTAAAAATTATATAGGATATTTAATAGGATAAATTGCATTTTAGCATTTTGAATAATGATGCTATTTGAAACCTATTTTAACATGTAGTTTAAAAATGGAGAAACTATTTTAAAACCTTTAAAATAACTTTTTTTAAATCTGAAACTTGATAAAACTTAATTGAGTTTAGAATAACCTATTAGAAGTTTAGGTAAAGATATTTATTATAAATAAATAGTTTTATCTCAAATATCTCAAAACTCAAAAAAGTTTAGGGTGACATCTTTACTTTTAAATATATTAGATTAAAAATACAAAAATTTATTAAAACTTGATCATTTTATTAGCAATTATTTTCATAATCTAAAAAGAAATAATTAAAATTAAATAGGTAATATTCCGAATTTTATTAAGTATCTGACCTTTTTATATTATATTTAATGTTCAATTTTAAGAAAATAATAATATATGACAATCTATTATTTATAACTTTAAAAGCTAAAATTGTTTTACCTTGAAATTTAAAATTTTGCTAAACAAATTATTTTTACCACTATTATTAACATTTCTTGTAGTTGTATTAACAGTAGGAATAATACCAACTTTTTTTAATAAATTATTAGTCATTAAACCTTGAAAATCAAATTTAGTAACTTGTTTAAGGAATAAATCTATAGCATTTTTATCAAAAGAATTATAAAGATATTTATAATCTAAATCAGAATCTAAATGATGACCCCAATGACATCTTGCATTGTATTTTAATGCTGTTCCAAATAATGGTTTATAAACGTGTGTATAATAGTCGATTCTTGTATCCTATAGGGTAGAAATAATTAAATTTTTATTTTATTTTATAAAAAAGAATAAAAATAAAATAAAATAAAATTCCATATACTTACATATGCTAAAATTGGCATTTCAACAAAACACCTTGGTTCACCATTAGTATTATGAGCCATAGATAAATATTGAGAAGAAGCAGCAGCAAATCGTACAGCAAGAGGACCATTAATGTTATAATTAAACTTTGTTCTAATTTCTTGAAGTGTTTCCTTCAAAGCATCGATTGCTTTAATATGATTGTCATCTATCATTGAAAATGAAAATTCTACGGCAATCGCACTAAAGTCATTAATAAATCCAACTAAGTAAATATTATTATAATCATCAACCACAGGAATATCATTATATTGAGATTTTAAAGCGGTTTCAATTAATAAAGGAACAATTTTTGGAAATAACTTTAATAAAATAAATAAAACTTGTCCTCCATCAACACTCAATTTTTTAGCAAGATCATTAACGATTGGATAATTTAAAAATTCTTGCAACCATTTTTTATGATGTTCTTTAGGATAATTTTCTTCATCTTCTTTTGTTGCAATATTTCTTCTTGTAACAAGAGTGTAAGGCGTATAAGGACTAATCCATATTTCTGCGTTATGATATTTTAAAATATCATTTTCACTATAAGGTCGTTGTGATAGGATGGGTTTAACAGCTTCCCAGGATGTTTCTTCTCTCATTGAAATTACTTTATAATATGGAACTGTTTCAATGGTTACTTGATACACAACACCTAATGCTCCTAAATTTACTACGCTTGCATTAAACATTTCATCTTGTTGAAATAATTGAATATTTGGATATTGTTTCGAAAATATTATAGGATCCGTGATTCCATTTGTAGGTTCAATTCTATAAATTTGTCCACCTGGTACAACAAAATTAACCGCAACTACGAATGATGCTAAAGGTTGAAGCGTAATTCCACTTCCATGTGTTGAGGTTGCATTACACCCAACGATTGATTGACCATCATATCCAGGTAAATTAAATATAGCCCTTTCATCCTTTCTTAATTCTGATATAATTTCATTAATTCTAGTTCCACATTTTACGTCATAATAATAATTATCTAACCTAAATTCATTTTTTAAAAAATCTAAATCAGTTTTAACCACTCCATGATAATTATTAGTATAAAGAAGGAACCCGTCGGTTTCAGTTATCTGACTATAAAAAGATATTACATAATCAATTTAATTATCATGTATTCCGTAAAATTAGATTTTCTTGATAATTACTTGAAGGCTTCAAAACTTCCTACAGCTTTAACACGTTTCTTTTCATTATCTGAAGCTTTCATAATCTCTACAAGCCTTTCCAACGATTTAATTTCCTCAACATCTGCATTGAACTTAATATTACCAAGCTTATTTGCTACTACCTCTAATTGGTTTAAAAAAAAAATTTAGAATTGAGTGTAGCGTAGCAAAAATTTTATACGAGATATTATAACCTATTTGGGGTCCAGCATGGTCTACATGTTCATCAACAAGTTGTTTTTTAGTCTCGATGATCAGTAGTTCTAAAAATATTTTCGGTGAAATTAAATAAATAAAAAATGAATTAAACAAAATGTAAAAACAAAAAAAAAAAAAAATTAACAATTAATGAAAACTGCCTACTAATTTTCTTTTTAATTTCATCGCTCTTTTCATAAATTTCTGATAATTCCCAAAAGTTTGTTCCATTGTAAATTTTCGTTGCTTCATCTTTATATTTTTGATTAACCCTAAAACTTTTACCATTATTTTTCATCATATAACAACACTAATATCCGTAACAATTTAATTTAGTACTTTTTTTTATTTTGAAATATAAACAAAATCTTTTGGTTACTTACTGTACTAAATGAACGAACAAAGCTAATAAAAGAATCCATTTTCTTAATTTAAAACAAAATCGTTGAAAAAAAAAGTTCTATTTATGCCAAGTAAAAAAAAGGTAAATTGCGGAAATACACTCAATTTTGGTTCACAAAAAATCATTTTATTATTATTGTTTTTATAATTTCAATTAAAAATTCATGTGATTCTCTCCGGAATATGGAGTCATTAGTCCGATTGAACAAGAAAAAAAAAGGAGATTTATAGAACCACCAAAAATTTTAGTTACACAGTTCGAAAGAGGTATGGAATAATTAAATCAAAACTATGTATGGACCTATAAAATTACTATAGATAAATTTTTTATATTAAACTTTCACGTGCTTTTTTCAAATGCTTGAAATTGGAGGCATTTCCCATTGAAATATCCGAAATCTTAAAAGTTTGATAACTTTGAAAGACTTAGTATTTAAATAACATAAACTAATACACAATAACTTAAACAATGATAGGATTGTTAATATAAAAATTTATCTATAGTAATTTTATAAGGGTCCGTACATAGTTTTGATTTAATTGTCCATCGACCACCCCAATTATTCTACTCAGTTTTAAAAAACTGTATCGTTCGTATAGACAAATAAATATTCAGAATTCCTTCAAATCAATTGGCTCAAGAGACAATCGTTTAGTCACGTTAATTATGTGAAAATAATATTTTTAAAAAAAACAATGAAATTTTTATGTATAAATTTCGTATGGGGTTTCAGCAGAATGAATTTTTTTTCCAATCCAAATTATTAAATACTATTATTAAAATTATTTTTTAAAGCAATGACTTCGTTATTATTATATTCGATTGTTTGAAAATTTTTCGATCAGTTTTACCAGTCTTCATACAACCTTTTAATTTTAAAATATATTGAAAGGAATGTTATTCTTGCATAGTTTTCATGATGAGAAAAATTTCTCTTAAACTATTAACGAGAGCGCCACTAACTGATAGATTTAGGAACTGCTTTTACAGAATGATTTCTCGTATCCCCGATAAAAAGGTCCAGAAAACGTACAGGTTTTCGAAATTTTCTGCACGTACCTGTACGATTTCCGGACGTTATTTTCTCATAAGATGTATATTTCCATTAAAACCATTCTACTTTAATAATTAATTACCCAACTTCAGTCTTATGATCAAACGTGTCCTTGACAGAAAAAATCCAGGATCATTGGGTAGATACATTATCATAGTCTTGTGTAGTATGCCTAACACATATAAGTTAATATGCATTTTATTTTTTGTATTTATCACCCAAGTTTCATAGACAAAAGATTAAACTTATTAAAAAAAATTTTAACAATCCAACATGAATTTCATAAATCAATTTCACATTTCATATCATATGGGTAGGGCCTTTGCAACAGAAAGGGGGAAACTGCCGGGTAAAATCAATTTTACTTTTGTCAAATATGATTTTTAGGCTGAAATATGCATTTTTATTTTTCTGGCAGTTTCCCCCCTTTCTATTGCAAAGGCCCCATATATCTTGTGACTTTATTCCATATAAATCCACCAAGTTCGATATTCAAACAAGAATCTATTGGGAATTCGTTTAAAACTTTCCATCTAACAGTTACACTTTCGCCTGTGAGTTTATGATGCAACACTTTGTGCGACACATGAAATGGATTTTTGAGTATTTGACGATTTTATTGATTCTATCCGAACTAGAGACAACGATGCAATGGTAAAAATAATACTTTTCTATATTAACATCGAAAATTTTAATGATCTCACATTCTCGACAATTACATATTGTAAGGGCAGGGAAACATAACATCTTGCAAGAATATAAGATAACATTTTCTAAGTGAAATTTAAACTTTTCATCAAAAAATAAAACTTTTTTTTTTTTTCCTTAAAATACAGTAATTAGGGCAAGTCATCATAAAAATGGAGGTATAATTGGCGAACTATTTCGCTTCACTAGTAAAAATAAAATATAAAAGTATTTGAAATAAAAATACGATTTTGTCGCACAGTATTCTGAATGCATTTTTTTGCATAACAATAACCGGACATCGATCGATGAGTTATGCGAAAAATTATTGTGAACAGATAAATTTTCCCATATGGAAAATTAAAAATACCAGATTACCTTTAAACGAAACCACAAAGTTTTATCGAGATTCATTTTTACCACTTATAATAAAACTCTGAACTCTATTAAATTAATAAAGCATAAAAGAGAAGCCACCGCTCCAAAATGAGCATCACTATTAAAGAGAAAGCATATTAGTAATCGGCTACCTTACGGTCCGGTCCATAAGGTGATTTTAATAGCCGATCACCCATATTATTCCCGAATAAATCGAATGCACATACATTAGATGTTTGTCAAACTATATAGTACGAGAAACTTAGTGTATACAATAAATATTTATATATATATTTTTTTTTTTAAAAAAAAAAAATCAACAACGAATAAAAGTTTCCGTTTACCAATATTGATAGGTGTTAGATCTCACGTAAAATTCTACAAACATCATGTAGCAGACATTCGTTCAATCAAGGAAGTGGTCTTCAACAAGGAAAATAAATAATACAAGAAAGATAGTTACACAAATAACCATCGGTAGGAAACAATGTGATCATTTTAAAAGATCATGAAAGGAGGATAATGGATAAAGGAAGGCCCTAGGTTGAGCCATCAATACTCAAGGTAATTTCTCCACTCTTTTTTACTACAAAAAGATTTGAGCGATTATAATAAAAACAATTGTTTTATTTTTATTTTTTATTTAAAAGTAACCATGCGTTTAATCACTAACTAACCGAATTTTTAAAATGATTTAAACATTGCAAATAATCCTGTTTGTAATTGGTAATAAAGTCTTTGATGCAATATTTGATAAAACATTCAGTATTAATGTAATAAATGAATGAAACAGTTTATTTATTAGATAACAATAGTTTTTAAAAAAGTAATGTCGAATTTGCAATCACAATATGCTTATTTAACATTCTTGGAGGTAAACATGGTAATGGTCTGGACCGAACGTTGCGAACGCCTTAAATGAAACATATTAAATCCGTCAATGAACTGTATGACACATGCTATAATAAGTTATTCGAACGTTGTTTTATAAATACATTTTGAAGTGGGCAAAATCTTTTTAAATATAAACAAATCAAATCAATATTTCGTAAGGAAATTGGCCATAGCATTCATTCAGATTTCAAATAGTACATAATACTTATTAATAAATTATTTTTTTTCTAATGCATGTTCTAGATTCAAAAATGAGTATTAGTAAGATCCGTTAACAAAAATCTACCATCAAAAATGGTGTTAAATATTTTTTTAGGGCACAGTTGTTATTATTTTGCAGATTATTTTGGGCGTGCAGAATTGTAAAACAGTTACACACCAGTCCAAAAAAAAAAAAATTCTGAATTTTGATTGGTCAAGTTGAATTAAATGATGTGTTAAAAAGGAAATAATTTCAGAATATTTATTTAGATATTCCGAGGGTTCTTAAAGACACTTCTGCACTTGGCAAATTACGAAGATAATTAATATTATTAATGGTGTCAAATAAACTAATGAGAAACAAATATATATACATTAAATTAATTTATCGGTATACTGAATTTTTTTTAATACCCCTGTTCATAAAAAAAACCAAACTTAACCTTGGACTTGTTGGGCGAAAATAACTTGCATGATATTACTCAAAATGAGAGCACATAATACATTTTGTTTTGGAAGATCCCCCTGCATGAAAATTGGTAACGCATCTTTACAAGGGGAAACAACCAATAAATGATATGTGAGGTCATCAATTGAAATTAGCTTATAAAGAAAATTTTATCTCGTTCTTTTAATCATGTATTTAATTAGCTAATTCACTTTAAAGTTGACATTATGTAACAAAGTTCTAGGCCTAATTTGAAAAGATATATAATATATCCGAAAACATAATGGACCAAAATATTAAAAAAATTTTTTTTTTTGGATTCATAAACAAAATAATTGTACTCGAACCTTAAAAATTAATTTATTCATGCTATCATTTAATAAAATCAAGATTCACCTTCTATCGTCTTTCAAAATGGTTGATGATCCAATCGATCAAATCGAAATAGGAAATCCTATCAATGAAAAAGATTTTAATCGATTAGAACTTCAACATCATTTATTTAGAATTATTTGGAATAGTAACTTTTCGGTTCCTATGCAAAGTCAACTTAGTATAGGAAATACTAGAGTTCTTGAGGTTGGGTATGTATAAAAATTATTTATCAACAAAAAAAAAAAAAAAAAAAAAAATTTCTTTTAAAACCAATCCTTATTTTCAGATCTTGCCCAACGATATGGACGTTTGATATGGCCTCAGAATACCCTTTATCAACATTTGTCGGCATAGAGAATACTTCTGCAATAATAAATACTTCTTCAATATCTTCTAATTATTCTTCGAAAATTCCTGAACCACGTAATGCTATCGTTTTACAAACGAACACAGGTCTTCCATTTCCCAATGAAACTTTTGACCTAGTATACCATAAATCAACAGCCATAATACCTTTATTACAATGTCTTCATAATCCTTTAAACACAATAAATCAAATGATAAGAGTGTTAAAGCCTGGAGGCTGGCTGGAATTTATGATAATTGAAAAGCGATGGTATAATCTTGGTCCTATAACCCAATACATGGAAAATTCATGTAAGTATATTCTAAATGGCAGAAATAATCACATGAAGCCATAATCTAATCGACTCATTTTTTTTAGATATAGAACTTTGCCCTTCGTTTAAAATAAATAATCTTGAGTGTACGCAATTGGAAAAATACTTACACACAAAGAATGATCTTTCTTGCATAACGATACAAACAAAAGAAATTCCAATCGGTAGTTTTGGCGGAAGAATCGGTGAATTCGTAAGTCATTAAGTTATTTTCAATTTTATTTATACAATACAAAATGCTAACTTTTTTTTATTTGAAAATTATACATGTATATAGTTAGGCGAAAACTTGCTTAATCCAATTAAACTTAATAAACATAAGTTATGTATAAAAATGAAAATTTCTGAAAAGAAATTTGATGAATTTTTTACTATGATGTCAATAGAGATCAATCAATATAAATCTTTTTGTAAATCTCACAGGTATTTCGATTTTCTTTCTTTATTTTTTTTTTTAAAAAAAAAAATCCTCATTAATTTTTTCTTCTTCGGATTGATATTAGAATATTCGCAAGAAAACAGATATCTACCTGTACTTTGTAAATATTAAATTAAATTTATGGGATTTTTGCAATAGAAAAGAGGAAACTGCCGGGAAAATAAAGAAATATGGGATAATGCTATGATGAGTATTAACATAAAAGTAATTTCATTCCCCCTTTCTATTGCAAAAGGTTCCATACATATATATATATTATGAAAAAATGTTTATATAATGTTTTGTAATTATATGATTAAGTTATTTATTTTTTATGTTTATAAAAGTTGTATCCCTTACGAAAAAATATTTTTTTTTGCTCCTTAAATGAACATTTCTTTTTATAAAAAAAAATGTTTTTATATTTTCTTCTTTCTATGAAACATTATTGAAACTATCATTACATTATTTGCTAAAAAAGTTCATGTATTAATAAGAATGATAGTAAGGTTATTTCACGGAAAAATTAATTATAAATGAACATTCAAATATAGAGACTTTAAAAAGTTAATCTAATGTATCATATAAATTTTATCTCAGTTTAATGTTGTAATATTTGTAGTTGTAAAAATGAATTTTATGATTTGCAACCTAACCTTAAATGTACTCATAAATAACGTGTGCATAATTCACTGATTAAGTAATTGATTATCTAAGATAGCTATAAATACTGGATACTGTAATATCATTCATGCGCTATCATATTTGTAAGGTATAAGAAACTATTTATTATTTTCATAGATTTTTTTATGGCAAACAAAACCTTTTACCAAATAAATTGATCTGGAACGCCGAATGATCAACTTGTTATTCACATGGAGGGGTGAAACAATTTTTTATTAGTGAAAGGTAAGCTGAATAATAATGGTTGGCTTTGTAAAATAATTTTTTTTTTTGTTTATATAATAAAAGATTAGATTAGCAGAAAACGATATTATATATATGGATGTTAGTTTTGCAATTTAAGTCTTATTTATATATTTATGATTTTGAGTTATGATAATTAAAGCTTGTGATTCAGTTTTTTTTTTAATAAGTAATTAAATAATCACATTAAAAATCAATAAATACTTTGTCTACTTTGTCTTTTCTAATATAAGTATAAAGAACAATAAAAATATATTAATTTCGTATGTAAGGAATTTATTTTTATCTAATCTAGTATATTTAGTATCATTTTTATAATCTTTTTAAAAAAATTAGATATAAATATTAATATTCTAAAAGCAAGCTATTCATATTGATATTTTAGCCAAAAAATAAAAATAGTTGTACCGTACGTATATTTCCGAAATAAGCACTTTTTGTAATTGAGACTAAAATGATTTGCGATTTGCGGCCAATCGAATTAAACCCGTTTTCTTTTTTATTTTTTTCAGGTTTGTATTTTACCATTTTAATAGATTTTTAAATTAGTACTAACGTTTTATTAATAAATATTATCTTTAAAGTGATAGAAACGTTAGATGGTTGACTTAAAGGAATTAAAGCCACACATATATTAGGTAGTTATAATAATGGTGGTACACACTCCCCTGAAAAAAATGACCGGAAACCTAGAAATCGGAATAATAATTGAAGTAATAAGAAATAATTTTTTTTATTAATGAAATCGGTGTAATAAGTAAACTTTTGCATTATAATAAATAACATATATTTTGAAAATCTTGTAAAACTTTATATTATAAAATTTATATAAAGATTTTGCAAAATTTTTGGTTTTAATTTTTTTAGCATTAAAGTTATTTTATAAATTAAGTAAAATTGTTTAATATAATAAAATATATATTATTCTAAAATGTTAGAATTATTGTATAAATACTAATGGAGACCGCCGCAATATACTAAATTTAAATGTGATCGTCATAATTGCTTAGGAATAAATAAAATCGAAAAATTGAACCATTTTAGCCGCAGAAATCGCAATAATTTACAATTTTTATTATACAAAAAAGAAAAGAATTAACTAAAAGTGATTGTATTTAAATTATTGTTGCATGAGATGTTCCTATTATCTCAAAAACATTAAAATTTCCTACTTCTACAATTTATGATGTAATAAATTATTATAAAATACTGAAAAAATAAAACCACCTTTACAAAGTAGCAGACTACCAGCTTTAACTGAATGTGATAAATGTCATTTAACTCAAATTGTTAAAGAAGATAGAAAGGTTACATTAAATGAATTATATGACAAATTTATACAAGCTATGTCCAATGAAATTTACATATGTACATTTACAAAGATATCTTTATGAAGAAGGCTTTTATTCTTATACTAGTAAAAGACATCTTTTATTAGTGAAATAATTTATAAAAAACATTGGAATATGCAAATAAATTGAGATTCAGAATGGAACTTTATTATTTAGAGTAATAAATCCTATTTTGAAGTATTTGGAAAAAATGGTCATATAATGTTTGAAGATTATCAAAGGAAAAATATGATATAGTATAGATTGTTTTATTCTGACATTTAAATTTGGCTGAAAAGGGATTATATTTGGGATATTTTACATTATATGATTTGGGTTTATTAATACAAGTTAATAGTTGAATAATAATAGATGATTATATTAAAATTCTCAACAATCATCTGTTGTCTTATTTAGAAACTCTTGATCAACAATATGAATATCATTTTCAAAATAATAATGCTCCAATTTATTAAGCAAAAAAACATTAAACTGAATGTTAAAAAAAAGTATTTCTTATTTTTTATGACCTTTTAAAAACCTAGATATTAATTCTTTAGGATGATTTAAAGTGCAAAGTAGAAAACATATTTTAATTACCAAAAATAAAACAGAATTATTTAATTTATTATAGGATAAGTGGTCAAATATTAATTTATCAGTTTATTGTAATTTTGTAAAAAGTATGTTTCATCACATTAATGCTAAAAAATCAAAAAACTATTCCATAAAATATTAACTTATATACAGTGAACTCTTGATATAACGAATTCTAGGATCTGAATATCAACTTCGTTATAAGCTTATAACGAATTTT